GGATGAGATGTGGGGTGATCAGCTCCAAGTTAAGAGCACAGGAGAGGTGATATGAGGTAACATTAAATATTTATCCAAGCCCAAGAGTGTGTCTCTGGCAGCAGCCAGCAGCAGATTGCTGTATGAGAGCAAGGAAAGCCTGATGACATTCTCTGAGCCTCCAGCAATCTGCAGTTCATGGATTTCTCAAGCCTGAGGTGGTAACTTTCAACAGTCTCTAGGGATTCTTCTCTCAGCAAACAACTCCCTGGGATTGTGAATGCTCCAAATCCCAGCTTTTATGTGCTTCAGTTGAGAGAACTTTGGGGCTGCAGCCTTATCCCACAGCACAGGGGATCGTGATTCACGAGGAAACCTCATGGAGCATCTCAATCCACACTCCACAGCCATCTGTTTATCAGCACAGAGCTACAATTCCATGAAAGAGAAGTGAGGAGGAAAGAAAAGCTGGAAAACACCAGAGTCTGGTGCATTTTCTCTTCTAAGAATAAAGGGCACTGAAGACAAGGGCTGTGGCAGCTCTGTGGCTTCCAAGTTCAGCTCCTGCCCCACTGAGACGACATGAGCATCAAAGGAGACACAAACCCTTCCTGTCCTTCCAAGGATGAGCATGGTACTCACTGAGGTTATTTTTCTCCACATAACATTAATTTTCTAAGGTATGCAGGAGTGGGAATACATATGTCCTAGTTCTAAATCTAATAAAACATGGTCCAAGAGTTGCCTAGAGAAATCAGAGGCCCAGAGGGCAAGGTGAGATCTCTAAGGCTCAGAAATGATTACAAATCCACCTCACCTGAAAAACACACACCAAAAGAAATGTCCAGTACAAAATGCACCGTGGAAACATTCTAGCAGCTCAAACTTACTTGCCCAGACTCCATCAAAAGAAAATTTACTTTTGGTCTAATAAAAGTCTATAAAATGATGTGTCAAAGAGAACTGATAAATGAGCTGGATGTCAGAAGATCTTGCCCAGAAAACCCCACCAAGTTGTGGCAAAGGTCCAGGCATCACAGTGAACACTTCACATCTAATCTGTGTGTCAAGAAAGGAAATTCAGGCAGAACTACAGTTAAAAACTCCACTAAATTATTAGCAAAGATATTTCAGTGAGCTCTCCAATACATTATGCATTTTTAGAACTGAAAAGAAAGCTTAAATTTAAAGGGCAGAAAGGAAGGAGAGAGACACATATGTTGGATTTGAATCCCTCTCTACTTCAGTTTGGAATTCTATGTGATCAGAGGGCTCCCACAGAAAAGCAGAATTCATACAGCCATGTGGTGTCTTTTAGCTGGTCTCAGTGAAAGAACAAAAAAATAGATAGGCAAATGCTTTTGAGAAATCTGAATACTGCAGAACAACTTTTAATAAAAAGATTTTCTCAGCTCCACCAGGATTAAGAGGAGAAATATTAATAATAAAGATAGTCATCATGAGCACTGACCAGAATTCATCAGCATGAAGTGCACAGCAGTACACCCTGCCCAGCTCCATGGCACTCCAGGCCAGAGGTGGAAAACTGTTCCTGCTTTCTGGAATTTGGATATTCCACAGCCTCTTTCTTTGGAGAGCCAATGACTCAAAGAAAGGCCTTTCACATGGAGCATGCAGCAACGAGGCAGCAGAGATGCAGCCTCTGGGTCACTGTTGGGTCACTGTGCTCTGTAGGACATTTCCTGCTCTGCCTGCAATGCTCAGAGCATGTTTATGTCTATACCTGTCTCAGCTCCATGCTCAGTTTATACCTGTCTCAGGATGAAGGCAGCTTCATGCTCAGTTTATACCTGTCTCAGGATGAAGGCAGCTTCATGCTCAGTTTTTGCTGCCAGGTACTAAGTAACTCCTTCACCATCCACCTTTTATCACTCTGCTTACAGTACTGCATCCAGCTCTGGGTCTCCAGCACAGGAAGGACATGGAGCTGTTGGAGCAAGTCCAGAGGAGGCACCAAGATGATTAGAGGGATGGAACAGCTCTGCTCTGAGGCAAGGCTGAGAGAACTGGGATTGTTCAGCATGGAGAAGAGAAGCTTTGGGGTGACCCAATTGTGGCCTTCCTGTGCCTAAAAGGGCTTAAAGGAAAGGTGGAAAGAGACTATTGACAAGGGCCTGGAGGGACAGGACACAGGGAATGGCTTCCCACTGCCAGAGGGCAGGGACAGATGGGATACTGGGAAGGAATTCTCCCCTGTGAGGTGCTGAGGCACTGGCACAGGTTGCCCAGAGAAGTGTGGATGCTCTGTCCCCAGAAGTGTCCCAGGCCAGGCTGGATGGGACTTGGAGCAACCTGGGCTAGTGGGAGGTGTCCATGCCTTAGCTGCAACATCTGATACCTCATGATGATTCCTGCAATGATCAGTATTCCTGTCTGCATCTTCCTAATTCCTCCTATCCTCTTGTCTCCAACCTGCAGCAAAGAATTTGAGGCATCAGTGCAATATTCAGCTAAGTTAATATTAACAGGAAGGGGAAGGAATTTTCTAAAACAACACATGAAGTTGCCAAAGAAAGCTAAAACCAGCTGCTTTCCCCACACACACTGAAGCTGCCCTCCACTGCCCTGGAACATATTTCAAGCCTAGAGCAATGAAATGATATGGATCAAAAGTTACACATGGATCAAATGTTAAGCCAAGTGTTAAATGGCAACATCTGATTACAATTTACAATTAAAAACCAGTTGGTTACAGAAAACAACAACACAATAAACACCAAAAACACGTGAATAGCAGTAAACCTACACAGCCAAACCCTTTATTTGCAGATCTAGCAGCACATACTTGAGACTCGAAGAGAAGATTTTCAATTAAGCCTTCTCAAGCACATTAACTAACACCTCCATTTCCATAAATATGATGCAGGTCTAATCACAGCTCACACCCAACCCTCAAGTGCTAATTAGCCATCTAACAGTTGGAAGCTCAGGTAAGTGCTCAGGTGGCAGCAGCACAAAGCTCCACCTCCCCAGCTGCTCACCAAGGCACCAGTGCAAACCCTTCCACACAGAAACATGGAATCCCACACTGGTTTGGGTTGGAAGGACCTTAAAGCTCATGTCATTCCATCCCCTGGAGTGGGCAGGGACACCTACCGCCAGCCCAGGTTGCTCCAAGCCCCATCCAACCTGGCCTGGAACACTCCCAGGGATGGAGCAGCCACAGTTGCTCTGGGCACCATGTCAAATGGACACAGCTCTAACCATCAGGTGAACACCAAGACACAGTAAAACCAAATTGAAATTTCACTTCACAATACTGAATTTACTCCTCATTTCATTCCTTGATGCAAAAAGTCAGCAGCAAAAAATCATTCCAAAAGCTCAGCCCCTTCCCTGACAGCAAAGCACCATCTGCATGTGGTTGACAGAGGAGCACCCAAACAATTTACAGCCAGAGTATGAAGAAGAAAACTCCAAAGGGATTTAAAATCCAAGAAAAAACAAGACAATGCTATTACTGCTAAGTGAAGAGATACAAAAACTCCAGCCTGCAAACAGTCCCAGCGCAGCTCTGCAGAGGTCACCTGGTGCCAGGGACATGGTGAGGCTGTGTCAGCACAGCGCTGTGCAGACCAGAGCGGGGCCTGCAGCTGTGTCTGGGACCATCTGCCTAGCTGTGTTTTCCCACAACACTCTCCTCTTCCCACTGCAGCCGTCTGTCTGCTCTGTTCTGGCAAGAACTTCAGATGCCAAGGGTGTACAGTACCATGCAGAGCTGCCAAGCACTACACAGACTCATTCGGCAAAGAAAAGAAAGCTGAAGGAAGAAAGGCCGAAGGATCCTAACAAACCCTCATTTGGCACATTGCTGAAATGGTTGTTTTGGTTCTGAATAGTTCATCTACCTACTTAAGTTTCTGTTTGTGTTATTTACAAGCTTCTAGTGCTGTCACACATCAAAACAAGCTGGCAATGAGCCCTAAGAAGTCCCCATTAGCAACACAGAGAGATCTGGGCTCTGCTATGGATATAAAAAATATATATATAGATAGATGTTTTTCTGTCATCTCAAAATAAGAGAAATCTTCAAACACCCACAACTCACTCTAACACATCACTGTAAGCTGCACACACATTCAGATCTCAGAAGGTTAAAGGGGTCAAGCACCAACAGCTTTCTGCTCATCCAGAAGATTTCTAAGCAGAACAACAAGTGCCAGTTCCAGTCCCATTAGGGTCAGAATGGAAATCACCAATAAATGTGAGTGGGTACACCTCAAGCATCACAAAACCTGCACTTCTGAAAATAATAAGCCATGAGAGAGCAGACAATGATGCAAAGGACTACAGGAGATTCACTTGAGATATGTGACAGTGTACAAGGATGAGAAGAGGATGCTCAGGAAATGCTAAACTGTAGTAATGAACCTGAACTGAATTGTGAATTAAATATGTGGGTTTGTGAGCAACTGGCATTTGCACAAGCAACTTCACCAATGGATAAAACAAGTAATGACTCAACTGTGAGCTGAATACATGGGTTTGTGAACATGAGACAAACAAACAAGCTGGCAACAAAGGACACGAGGATTTCAGACTAAACTCTGGACTTCCAATGCCAATCTGGATCTCCTCCACAAGCCTCTTCCATCAAGACTTATGTTTACCACTCACTGTGCTATCACAACACAGTGAAACTGCCTAAAAAACCCTTTGCTGGATGAAGCTGTGCAACTCAGGAGGCCTGAAAGACTCTCACACGTGAGCTGGAGAGAATCAGACTCCAGACATGTGCCACAGGAACAGTGTGCTGCTGTGGGATGTGTTTCCTGGAGTGCCTGCAGCCTCAAGAGTGCTGAGGGCAGCCAAGATGAAGGGCCAGACAGGCTGGAGAATATTTCTGAGTCATTAAGGGCACAGAGTTTTCCACTAACATTAAATGGATGTTAGGGATGGGAAGAGAAGAAGAGGTCATGGAAAAGGCTGACCCTGAACACTGCTGCAGAATCACAGAGTAGTTTGTGTTGGAAGGAACCTTAAAGATCACCTAGTCCTAACCCTCTGCCACAGGCAGAGATGCCACTTACTAGCCCAGGTTGCTCCAAACCCTGTCCAACCTGGCCTGGAACACTTCCAAGGATGGTATCAATGGAGCAGCCACAGCTTCTCTGGGCAACCTGTGCCAGTGCCTCAGCACCCTCACAGAGAAGAATTCCATCCTAATATCTTATCTCAACCTTACTCTGTCAGTCTGAAGCCATTCCCCCTTGTCCTGTCACCATCTGCCTGTATGAAATGTCCCTCTCCCTCCTTTTTATCAACCCCTTAAGGTACTGAAAGGCCACAGTGCAGTCTCTCTTAAACCTTCTCTCCAGACCTTAGATCACCTCCATGTGCTTCTACCCACCTAATGCAGCATGACCCACCTCTGAGTGCTGACAGTCGCCTGCCCATACCTCCACAGCATTTCTTTGCTGTGATGCAGCACTGGAAACACTTACCCACAGCACTGAGAGCATGCTTGAGCTCCAGAGTGAAGGCTGTCAGTGGCACCTCTTCAGACACTGGCATGATTGCCACAGTGGAGAGGTTGCTGGCAGGATTTCCTGCATCCCACTTGCTGCTGGAGCTGTGTAATCCAAGAGGATGACCTGTTTCAAAAACAAACACTTGCCATCAGTCAAAGCCAGGCTGTAAACAATGAAATGTCACCTTTGGGCAGGAAGGAAAGTGTCAGTGAATTGCTTAACCCCAGAGAAATGTGACATCCTCCACAGCACATGAAAGAAGAGTTCCCAGGCAGTTCACTTGTAAGAGTATGAAGATTAATTTCCATCATTTTTGGCTGCTGATATACTGTGGGTAAAAGCTAGGCAATGTTAATGCTAGGAATAGTTTATAAATGCACTGGGCACTTAGCTGACCTGGGAAGACAAAGACAAAAGGCACTTTGAACCACTTTGAACAGCCACAGCTTTGGAACAGGGAATGGTTTAGCCCATGAGAGGAATTAGTTTAACTAAGAAAACCCAAAACCCGTTGTCAGGATTACAATATTCCAAAAATTAACATTCCTTTTTATGGCATTCCTAAGCAAGGAAGTCATTACCTATTTCCGAAGTTCCTATAGGGAATGTGCATCTCCACCTAATTTTCACTTCTCTCCCAAGATATGGGCTTGGGAGTACTAAAATATGGAAGCTCTGAAGTAGCTGCCAAGTAACTGGGAAGTATCCCCAATATCATTTGGTAACTGAGTAAGGACAGAGAGTGTGGGCAGAGGAAAGCAGCTTTTGGCAGAAATGTGTGATGCATGTGACAAAGACCAAGATCGTCCCAGATAGCTTAGAGCAGGAACAGGTCAATGATGGGGATGTTCTACAAACTGTTCTTATTCTGATTGCTATTTCTTTCCTCTTTCACTAAAAACTCTCAGCCAGTCTCACTCTGCTGCTAATGTCTGTCAACTCAGTTCCAAGCACACAATAAACTTGTCTAAGTTCAGATCTGACATCCTGTCTATCTCACTTCACCCAGCAAAGGCCCAAGATGTCCCACTGCAGCTGAACTGCAGAGCTGGGCATATGGAAACACTTGATAGCCCCTATGAAAAGCCATTCAAAGGCTCTGTGCCAGAGTGATAGTTCACTGCAGGACACAAAGAGATATCAGGTAAACTTTTCTTTCAGATATATTCAGCAATTGAGTTATTCATTTCAAGTCTTCTAAACCAGCTCTGCACAGAACATTAAATAGCTTTTCTGCTCTTTTTGGTGATCTTCAAGAAGATATTTGTGGGTTCAAACAAGTTACACATCACAGCACAACTCCTTTATCTGCACCAGCCCTTCCCTCCTCAGATCTTCAATGGTGAATCTCTGATTGAACTCCTGTTGCTCTCACTAATTTCTCTCCCATTTTCTCCACTTTGCCCTATTTCCCAAGCAGTACAGACTCTGCTCTAGGCCTGAGAGGCATTTCAGCAGGCACAGAAGTGGAAGAACAATTATCACCAGGCATTCAGACACAACTGATTGTGTGCAGAAAGCTGAGGGTGTAAAGGCAGAGAGACTTTAAGATTCCCTCCCCAAGACTCTCCAAAACAAAAGAGTTGGTGACCTCATTTTGAGTCTCTTTGGAATATTGCAAACCCAACAATAATAGAAATTAACCCCCTCAGCCAATCAAAACCCAAACAACCCTCAGCAGCAAAGACCCCACAACACCCTCAGCAGCTAATGTGTGCCTGTTTTCTTTTAAAAGCTGCTCAAGAAGATTGGGAACATTTCCTCCTACTCCCTTCAATCAGCAAATAGACTTTGTGTTGGTGCTGCCACATACACAGAGCTCCAGAACCAACCCAGAGCAGAGCATTTCCTCCCAGACAACTCACGGAAATAATGCAAATACAGACACATTAAGTCAGTCTATATGCAGATGCCACTCAGTATGGCTTTCTGATTAAAGTCCCCCAGAATGGCTTTCTGATTCCAGCCCATTCCAGCTGCTGCTGCAAATGCTCCTCTTGCATTGCGCTTGCAAGAAATTCCATGGAAAATTCAGTGCACAGGCAGCAGCACTTTCCCAGCTCAATTGCAAATGGTTCCATCCCCACACTTAGCTAACCAGGCTCTGCCAAAAACAAGTATACACATACATAATAAACTCACCATCCACTTGTGCCAATAGCTACTACAGATCACAGAATCTCAGACTGGTTTGGCTGGGAAGGGACCTTAATGACCACCCAGTTCAACCCCCTGCTAAGGGCAAGGACACCTTCCACCAGCTCAGGTTGCTCCAAGCCCCATCCAACCTGGCCTGGAACACTCCCAGGGATGGAGCAGCCACAGCTGCTCTGGGCAACCTGTGCCAGTGTCTCACCACCCTCACGGGGGAGAATTCCTTCCCAACATCCCATCTACCCCTGCCCTATGGCAGTGTGAACCATTCCCCTTGTCCTGTCCCTCCAGGCCCTTGTCCAAAGTCCCTCTACAGCTCTCTTGGAATCCCTTTTAGGCACTGAAAGGTGCTTTAAGGTCTCCCTGGATTCTCCCCCCCCGACTGAACCCCCCCAGCTCTCCCAGCCTGGCTTCATAGCAGAGGTGCTCCAGCCCTTGGATCATCTCTGTAGCCTTCCTGGGATGTTTTCCAGCATCTCTACATCCCTCTGCTGTTGGGGACCCAGAGTTGGAGGCAGTGTAGGCCACTCCCTCTACAGCTCTCTTGGAATCCCTTTTAGGCACTGAAAGGTGCTTTAAGGTCTCCCTGGAGCTTCTCTCCTCCAGGCCAAAATTTAGCAACAAATTCTCTTTCCAAGTATGTGCTCTCTGTTTCCATATTTAAGGATGTAAGTCTGGCTCCAAGGAAGCCCCAGCATCAATGGGAATAGTCCAGGAATGAGTCTTACCTCCCTGCTGCAGACTGCCAAGAATCTTCTCACCCAGCAAGTGAATAAGTCTAGTCACAACCTGGTAATGGGAGAGAGAGAAAAAAAGAGAAACAAACCTTCAGGCAGAATGTACTGAAAGTAGAGCATCCACAGGGAGAATTCCAAACTTTTTAAAGATATTCTCTTGAGCTGAACCACACAGGGAGAAGGTTTTGTAGCCAGAGCTTCTTTCCTGGCTGTAACCTATGGTGACTGATCATTTGTCTTGATTTCTTTTACCTTATTTTACTTTAATTTGGAAAAACAAGAAAACAAACCAACCCCAGAAAAGGCAATATTTAACCTGCTTTGGGAACAAAAGGAAAAAAATCCAATTATCTGGGGAATCATGTGGAATTGCACTTTCAGTTCTCCTCATTTCTCTCTGCAGTCCACCTGCACCTCTAAGTAACCCTTACTCCTCAGTGGCTGCTGCACCTCCACATTTTGTAGGTGCTAAAAGGCTCACAAAGGTTCAAGCCTGTGCTCAAACAGATCTCCCCACAAAATCCTGGTTCCAGCTGGTCCCAGGGAATGATTTTCAGGAACCAATTTAAAACATCTTGAATAAAAGGGATAAATACACACTCTAAACACCTGCAGAAGCAGAACAAACTACCTAGGAAATTGCTTTCCCCCTCAAATCCTGTTTGTGTGGCACTTTTGATGGGACAGATGTTTTCCAACAGGATTTACACTGATATCCATCAATATTCCAACAGCCAAGTGTATCTCCAGACTGACAAGCTTCTCCAACATGAACAATCAACAATGCCTGACAAGAAGACTAATAACTGCAATATCAAGAAATGTCAGACCTGGAAAATGCAGCATTTATTCTGCGAACTCTGCACAGAACTTCTACCAAACAAGGCAAAGCGTTACTTAAATGCATTAAGAATTAATAGAGCAATCATTAGATGCTCTCCCCCAGGCAAATAATTCAAGGTCAAAATAACTCACGAGGACATAAAAAACCCAACGCAAATAATTCAAGGTCAAAATAACTCAGGAGGACATAAAAAAACCAACAAAAAAACACCACAGCAAAAGTTCCCCAAACTCTTAACCAGTGAACCATGCAGAACGTGGCTGCATGGGATCCTGGGCACTGAGAGACACACTGTGCCCACAGGCACAGGCACCTCAGGGTGCATCTGGCAAATAAAAGACCATGTAAGCACCAAGCCAGGTCAGCATGAACCACTTCAGTGTGCTGCTTTAAAAACAGAACCCAATGCAATGAATTGCCCTGGATTATGACACTGCAGCTTTAATAAGCACCAACAGAGTTTAAGTGAAAGAGGGAAATTTAGATGAGGTATCAGGAAGTTTTCCCAGTGAGGGTGGTGAGACACTGTCCCAGGTTGCCCAGGGAGGCTGTGGCTGCCCCAACCCTGGCAGTGTTCACAGCCAGGTTGGCTAAAGCCTTGAGCAACCTGCTCTGGTGGGAGGTGTCCCTGCCCAGGGCAGGGGTTGGGGCTGGATGATCTCTAAGCTCCATTCCAACCCCTTAACATACTAAGTGTCTGTAGAGGAAGGGAAGAGAGCAAACAGGAAGCTTCTGACACAGAGAGACTCGTGGTAGAGCAGAGACTAAGAGCTAAACAAGGTTATTTCAGGAATTTCATAGAATGGTTTGGGTTGAAGGGACCTTTAAAGCCCATCTAGTCCAACCCCCTGCAGTGAGCAGAAACATCTTCAACCAGATCAGTTTGACCACAGCCTCATCCAACCTGGCCTTAAAGAGTTCTCCAAGGAACCAAAGCTGCTCTGGGCAACCTGTGCCAATTCTGCCCCATAACTGCAAGTTCCTAAAGATTCCACATCGAGCCTCTCCTCAGTGACCCAAGAACAACTTCATTAAATATCCTCTTACCTTCACCACCAGCAGACACACATTGCCCATACCCACCCCACCAAGAGCACTGATGCAGCACAACCCCCTGCCACCAGTGAGTGATGCTGGAACGACAGCAGATCCCAACAGCAGGCAAGCTCTCAGCCTCCCTCCTCATCCTGGAATCTCAGGCAGGATCTGCAATGTCTCCTTTTGTCCATAATATAATAGATGCTGAAGATCACCACATGACTCTTTACCATGTCAACACCTCTAAGATCTGCAGTTCTGGGATTCATTATGCAGTAAAGAGAGAACTCCTAATAAAGATGATGAGACTGATTGCCCTCCCTAAGGGAGATAACCTGCCCCTCAAGCATGGTCACTATACCCAGCTCACTGTTCATCTACCAACCTGTATCAGCACAGCAGGACTTCTCCTTCAGCAGTTTTGGGACGTGCTATGAACATTTTACACTTCTGAAGCACTTAAGCATCAGAATTTTAATTACTTACTAAAACCATCTCCTGTATTTATAACTTTTTCTGCTTTACAGGCAGCTAAGGAGAGCTGCAGCTAAGTTACAAAATATGTCCAAGGTTAATGATGGGACTAAGAATAGAACCTATTGGTCTCATTTTCCAGCTGGCTGCTCCTATTACTGGGAAATATTATTTGTCTTGTTTGCTAGAGCAAACCTTACAGCCTTGGTATGTATAGATAGGGGAAATTATTTCCCCAGTGACTTTGTAAGACAAGCAAAGCTGCTAACCATAACGGGATGAGTCACTCTGGTGCAGTCATGGCAACGTCGAAGGAACATCAATTTGGGATCGGAGCTAAGAGCTGGCCTGAAATTTCTTTGGAGTTTTATATTACGTGCAGTAGATATTCCTTCACAAAAAGGCAATGTTTTCCTTTCAAAGTGACTTGTCCATCTGTCTGAGGGACAAGTCAATGAATATCCCATCCCTCCACCAACAACAGAGCCAACCTTCAATGACTGGTCCACAGCCCTCACTGCATGGCCACCAAGTTAAGGACAACTGGGGAGAACAGAAAACAGGGAAATATCATCCTTCAGGTCTCCAAGCACCTTTATTCTCACCCCACCAGCTGCAGGAACAGCACAGCTCGATGCAGCCCAAGGGACAACCACAAGTAAGCCAAGGGATCTGGGAGAGGACCTGGGGTGACATGGAAGGGGCTGGGTTAGCCTGGGGAGGGAGGAGGAGGAAGCAAGAAGGAATTAGCCCTTGGGCTAGGAGGTTTCTGACAGGGGTTGAAAGAAAACAGTTATTCCAAGAGGAGATGGAGGCAGAAGGGCAGGTAACTGGACAGGTACTGCAGCACAGACATCTGGGCTGTGATTCAGCAGTCACCTATTCTCATCTTGCCTGTTTAGCTATACTTGTAGGAAATTCAAGGTGCTTCACCTCTTCTCTCAGATAACAAGTAACAACAAGAAGCAGCCTCAAGCTGTGCCAGGGGAGGTTTAGACTGCATATTAGGGAAAATTCCCTCACCAAAAGGGTTGCTAAACATTGGCACAGCTGTCCAGGGCAGTGGTGGAATCACCACCACTAGAGGTGTCCAAAAACATATGTCAATGTGGCACCTGGGGACACGTTTTAGTGGTGAACATGGTGATGCTGTGCTGATGGCTGGACTCGATTATTTTGGAGGGGTTTTCCAACCTTAATAATTCTGAGATTCTACACAAGCTCTGGGAATTGGCAGTGAGGGTTCGGGCAGAGGGGGAAGACCAACTCTGGCAGCACTGCTGGGAAAGCTGGACTGAGCTGCAAGAAACACTGAGTTTCCATCCTCTGGCAGTGCAGTCCCCAGAACTGCCCATACACAGCTGAGTCAGGCACAGACCAGGCACTGCTTTTCCTTCTACCCCCCTCTTCCATGGGAACACCAGTCTTTCCCAAGCACAGCGCCAAAAAAGCACAGAACACTTCCCAGACATCTGTACCAGCAAAATCATCTCATTTCCATGGTGTCACCCTACCCAGGGCTCAGCAGCATCCACAGTCGGAAGTGTCTGGTGTGCTCATCCCTCCAGCACAGCCTGGATTTTACAGTCCTCCTAGCACCCATCCACCCAGCCCTGCAGGCACGTTCCCTGCTCTCCACAGTCACAGCCCAATCTGCTGGCACAGGATCAGGTGGTTTAAATATAAGCTTTGAAGAAAAATCTGCACTGCAAGAAGGCAGCGAGTTGGAGCTCAGATGGATCAAAGAACACCAGGAGGTTTCTAAATCAGGGAAGGATCACTAATTGCCTGCAAAGTCAATGTAACTTATGGATCCCTCGTGCTAGGGATAGAGCTGAGCTTGGTTGAGTTTGGGAGGAAGTTGAATTAATCCTTCCTCATGATTAGACAACTACAGTAGCAGCGAGTGCATCCGGCTCAGTTAGTGACAGTTAATCACTGTGACCAATAATGAGCAGCAGAGCTGTGGGTCAGACCCTTCTGCTGCAAGGTCAGGTGTGCACAGAGCTGTCAGCTGACAGGTGACACCTGTCCTGGTGACAAGGAGCACCTTCTCATCCACTGCTCCCAACTGAGGCTGTGGAGTGACTCAGAGAGGTCACAGGGCTTTGCCAGCACCTAAATATACACCACAGGGGCTCATGGTGTGAGCTGGGGCTCTGGAACCATGGAGACTGTCTGGGCTGGGAAGATGACTGAAGGAGTTGTAGTGACAGGTCAAGGACTGATGGAGATAAATTGAAATGGAAAATTTATATGAGATCTCAGGCAGAAGTTCTCCCTGTGAGGGTGGTGAGACACTGTCCCAGGTTGCCCAGGGAGGCTGTGGCTGCCCCAAGCCTGGCAGTGTTCACAGCCAGGTTGGCTAAAGCCTTGAGCAACCTGCTCTGGTGGGAGGTGTCCCTGCCCAGGGCAGGGGACTGTCACAGGTCCATTCCAACCCCTTAACATCCTATGAAACTATCAAAATATCCCCAAAGCAGACAAACCCCCACACTCCAAAAGTTCTCTGCAAACTCTGCAAAAGAGTTTTCAGGCCAGAAGGAAGAAAACTGACCTTACAGGTCAAAAAACTGAGTAAATCTCCATCTCAAAAGTTACTTGGGGCTCCAAATGCACCAGGACTGTTCTCCAAATGTCCCCAAACCTCTCCTCCTCTCACAGACACCACTGCAACTGCAAATCCATAACCCTGG